CGATGCAATCCACCTGCTAATTAGGAACTTTGTTTTCCTAGATATTTTTCTTTAATTTGAGCAGCGAACACTTCTTACAACATCTCATTCCCTCTCTGTACTTTATAAATTGAGACTACATTTTACTTGCAGGGAAATGCAGTTGACTCTTACCCCCTGTCAATCCTTTCAGTTCCTAATGTCTGTGTTAATTTTACAACTCCAGCTTTTGATGCATTATATGCCAACTGCTTCGGTGGGTGAGGAACTAGAACAAATTCAGGCACATAAAAGATATTTTCTCCAGGTATTATTGTGTACAGGGAACCATGACCACAGCAAGGAGAGTTCTCAACACCGAGATGGAAGATTTGTCCTTTTCGCCTGGTGCTAGGTAGATATCATAAAGAAAGCAGTTAACATATAGTAAACCTCTAAATCTGTTTTGGGTTCTCTCTTCTCCCCATTCTAGTATTTGTGCATCAACAGCTGGACAGTGAAAAAGAAACTGAAGAAACAAGCAAAATAAAACAGATGCAGATTTTGGAACAGCAAAAAAAGAGAGATTAAAAATACAAACTCCAAACATTTTGCTGTATCCAATAAATATAGATAAAATATGCACAAACAGCCCCGCACACGTACATTACATACACTCAAGTAACTGTCTGGAACCAATTACCCTACTGAATATATAGCTTCCAAATATATTCTGCTGTGAATACACCATATTATCTGATCAGGTGTGTGTGGAGATGGGTGTCCCAAAAAATTCAAAACTCCTAGCACTAAAATCTGAAGCTTTTGAAATTGTTCCAAAGATGTCACATGTCAGTCACACAGGAAAATGATCGGCTTGCTAATTACAATGTTCAAACTTGTTAGCGCAGCGTGTTCTGTTGGTTCTACCCCTTTCCTCAGCTCGCAGACTTGTATTGTTCCAAAGAAAGTGCCTTCAAGACGGATCCCGAGTTGGTGTCGACTGTCACAACTCCACCATGCTCAAATGAAGTCAGCGCGCCTGGCACAATTTGCATCCTCTAAGAGCTGATGCTGCTTTGTGGTTTCAGCTCCCTGACTGTCATTGTGACCTGTTTAAAAGTTGTTAAAAGCCATGAAATGTAAATACCTGGTTTTTAATATTAGATATTACTGATATCTATCTATCGAGCTATTGATCAGTCGATACCTATATCTATCTATACCTATACAGATAGACAGACACACACACACACACACACAGAGGAAAGAGAACCAGTGCTAAATATCGTTCATGAGATAACATATCTTTTAAACAGCCTGTGTGCAGTAACCTTGTATTTTCAAAAGGTATGCGCATCACTATGTTGGTGGTATTGACTTCTCAAAACTGGCTTTAGTTTCATGTGAGGAATGGCAATAACTGGAGACTACAGGACAGAAAATACAGCAAGCCATCCAGAGTTTGAAAAGAAGAGTGGAATTGGCTTAGTTTTACATCACCATTAAATTCCCCTATACAGCTGCATTTTCACTGTCTAAACCCACTGCGTCTAAGTGTTACAATATAAACCATGGGAAGAAGGTGGTAAACACATGACAATGCTGCAGAATTTTATAAAAGCACTGAAATGGCATAGGCCCCATCCTGAAAAGACTCAAATATATGCATAGAGTCCATTATTTTCAATGTGATATTAGATTTAAGCACGTGCATAGCTAGCATTAACTCTTTATGCATGTAGTAAAGGTGACTTACGATTAACTCATTTGTTACACACACAATATTTTGCATTCAAACCTACATCCATTAAATATTAAGGGTTTTTTCAAAAACAAAACAGTTAAAATGTATCAGTGGTTTTATTAGTTAAAATACTACATTTTACTTATTTTATTTATTTATTTTTGGCGCTCTCACCACAGATGCAGCACTCTGTGTGGGCTGTCGAAAAGGAGTGGGATATACATTCTTGATTAATTGCCATGCAGCAACTCCAAGTTATGTACAACTTCGGTAGTTAACCTCCTCACCTCCCAATTGCAGGTATTTGCTAAACTTTCCAAATTTGCCTGTTTGTGATAAATCACTTGCACTTTGCAAGGAGGACAAGGGCTTTCACAGCTTCCTCAGCAGAGGTTTTGCCGTGGTTGTATGAATAGGATAAAAGAGAGCATGGTTGCAAGATATCAGTATTAGCTTTCTGATTTTGGGAAAGGAGCTTCGTTGATATTTTCAAGAGTCCCCCTCTTGTAACTGCCTTTTGTCTTCACAAAAAATGGCGCCGAAAGGTAATTTAGGAGATAAAGTATACACCTCCTGAGACACTTAATTGAAAACACTCAGGACTGAGGCGAAGGATGTTACAAAGCTGATGGCTCACATGCTGGGCAGTCTTTTTCTATTACAGCATCACATTGCAACCTCCTTACTTATGCTATCATCTTCAGTGGGATCTCTTGTGGGCCCAAGGACACCAGGATCACTGTCCTCCCCTGCCCCAAACTCATATCATAAAAGGGACAAAGCAGCTTTAGAAACACCAAGTCCTCTGGTCCGGTGTATCGGGAAAGAAAGTTAAGAAAAATTCAAATCCCACTCCGGACTCTAAGGGGAAATTCACTTGCGTTTCACACACTTCAGAGATGGAAAGGCAAAGCTTAGAAAAATACAGCCCACATCAGCTGTGTTGTACTTCAAAATTCCTAACATTGGGCTACCATTACCTGGATCAGTAAGGGAGGGATTCGATCCTGCTCATCATACAGTCACCTAATATGAGTGGGAAGTGAGTGTGTGTGTGTGTGTGTGTGTGTGTGTGTGTGTGTGTGTGTGTG